TTAACACAATACAACATTGCTCTGTTGTATATGCTGTAGTATAAACCTAAACAGGCCTAAACCAAAGTTATCATAGTTTTGGATTTTTCATTATAGTTTAGTTTTATTTCGTTTTGACTTTTTTTCTTTCAATTCAGTTTGTTTTAATTAGTTTTACAGTGGATTTGTTAGTTTTTATTAGTTATTATTGCATTTTTAATGCTTAGTTTTATTTTAGTTTAATTTTTATTAGTTCTAGTATTAGTAGTCTGAACAAACATATTTGCCAATGTATCCTCCAGCTTGTGATGTTCCTGTGGATAAACTAACCAACAGCTATTTGGTCACTAAAGCAGTCCATTATGGCAACACTTACCTAAAATAACTGCGTAACTCAATTTTGCCATCTAAAAACTTGTTGATTATTTTAGGACAATGACAAAAGCTGTCTTCAACCTGCTGCTTCCTGCTGCTTGTTTTTCATGGGAGCTACTGAGAGAAGGTAGCGTGTCAAGATAGTCATAGTTAGCCATCTTGTGCGAGCTTGATTCATGCAGCTTTTCCCTTGAGAAGCATTCCACCTATTTTATCACCTGTTCCCACTACAAAACACTTACTTTTATTTTTCTCACAGTCATATTCAAAGAAATCTCAAAGTGGACATTGCCGTTTTCTCCCTACTTTTGTTGTCGTCATTTAGCAGGTGATGCTGAGCAGCAGCAGATTGTAAACAAGTGTTGTTACAGATCACGAGGTGCCATAAACTGTCCACAGCTAATGTGAAACTACTCAATTAAAATAAAAAAAGATCACGTCTCAAAATAAATTGACAAACAGTAAAACTAAGGATATTCTATCTATAGTTTCAGTTTTGTAAAAAGATTATACAATTTTAGTTATTTATCGTTTTTCATTTTATTACAGTTTTTATTTATTTTAGTTAACTAAAATGTTCTTTCCATTTCAGTTTTCATTATTTAGTTAGTTTTCGTTAACTATAATAACCCTGGCCTAAACAAGCCAAAGGCCATGACCACCACCCAGTAGTGTATTGTGTGATGTGTTAGCACTCAGAGCACATGATGTGAATGATTCTCAACTGCTAACAGACCAAATTTTATCATAATAGCTAGTGCAAATTTAATTAAGTTTTACCAATTTATGTGTTTTGTAAGGTTGGTTAAGTGTGGCAGTCAAGCTCCCATAGATTTATTTGAAAAGTTAATCAGTTGTAGATGTTTTTCTAATGATTAGGCCGATGAAGTGTTTTGCTGCGTTCACACCGAACGCGATTTCAGCTTCAAAATCGCAGCCAACGCTGAAGTCGGTCGCTTGTGCACTTTGAGGT